CAATAACAAAATAGTGCCTTGGAGCTGGAGACCCAGGTGCATGTAGTCCCAGCTGCCTGGTCAGCTCAGGCAGTAAAATAATTGGAGCCCAGCAATTGCAGGCCAGCCTGGGCAGTGAATGTCAGGACTCAGGAATTAGGCGGACCTGCCCCTGTCACCTGGCAGAATGCACTCAGCAGTACCCTGGTCAGCCCAGGTGCAAAGGACCCCTTTAAAAGAAAGACCCCAGCCTGCTTACTCTCTCTTTCCTGCTGTTCCCCTGGGACACACAGCACTTTTCCTGTCTCCCTCTTCTCTTCTGTCCTCTCTCTGTTTCTGTGTCTTTTTACCTCTTTTGTCTTTCCTTCCCCTGCTTCCCTCTCTAATAAAACTTCTCACTAAGCTCTGCCTGCCTGGCGTGTTAGTCCCCCACCTTGGTCACCCTCGCCTGCCATGGAAACCCTATGGCAGGTCTGAGCCATGACTGAGAAGGCCAGTGATAGACTTCCTCCCGCCTGCATCACTTAAGGAGGTGGAGTTCCTCCCAGACAGCAGCTATCATGGATGAGCAGACTGGGGCCCAGGCCGTAGAGCATAGAACAGGGCTCAGGCCATAAAGTGGCGTGGCGTGCACCAGCTCACAGGGTTCTGTGCTCCACAATCCAGTGACTTCCCTCATCTAGTGGTACCCCAGAACTAGGAGGTGGCACTGTCATGGAAACAGGCAACACGAGGTGAGGCGAGGTTAATGGCTTTCTTTCATCATTCTCAGCTGGAACCAGCACCGGACACTGTTGGATTAGCATGGAGGCTGTATGCTTCCTGTTGCTATGATAAAACCCCAGGACCAAAAGCAACTTATGGAAGAAAGTACTTATTTTGGCTTATGGCTCCCGAGGGAGAGGAGTCCATCATGCCAGAGAGGCGTGGCAGCAAGCTAAGAGCTCATACCTTCAAATGCAGAGAGAGTGAAGGACATACTCTCAAAGCCCACCTCCAGTGACACACTTCAAATGCAGAGAGAGTGAACAACATACTCTCAAAGCCCACCTCCAGTGACACACTTCCTCCAGCAAGGCCACACCACCTAAACCTCCCCCAACAGTACCACCAACTGGGCACCAAGCGTTGAAACCACCGCAAAGGTAAACTGCGCTGTTTTTCATGGGAAAGCAAACAGTCGTCACAAGAGCTGGTGTTTACCCCCTGAGCCACTCTGTGTAGTCCCCAGAGCCCATCGGTCACACCCGCCTTTGGAAGTGCTGTCTGTGAAGTGCCAAGTTCACACATGGCACCTCATCTGATCCTCTGAGGCCCGAGGCAAGGGGATGAAGCTTCCGTCTGCCTTTTCTGCCCCGTGGGTCCAGGGAGAGAGACAGAGTGGAGGTGGGGTGAGCTGGAATCTGGCTGTTGTTTGACGAGCCCCAACAACCTGACCGAGAACTGGACAGTGGGGATCTTCTGACCACCGCAGACTGTGCCTGGGGAAGGCGTAGCGCCCGCTGTCATCACAGCATATGCTATGTGGAAACACCTTCCCAGCTCACATGTTAAATGTGAGCCCGTGGTGCCAGTTAGGTAGACCCTGCGAACTTTAGGGGCCTGGCTGGGAGAAGCAGGTTCCCGAGGGGACCTTGGAGAACATTACTGGACCTTGAAGCAGGAAGCAAGGCCAAATGAGGCAGGGCAGCGTCTCTGGCTTCTGTACTCAGCCATCAGGCAGAAGGCGGCATGGCAGACACACTCGGGACAGGGCCCTGCCACCCTTTAACACTAGATCATGCCCACCTGTCCTGCTTTCGTTTCTGCTGCTGTGATAAACTAGCCTGGACAAAAGAAGCCAGGCAGAGGAGGCTCGCTCGCTGCTCACATTTCTATCAGAAGGGGGACAGTCAAGGCAACAGGAACTGCAGCCCGTCAGCAGCACAGGGAATGAATGCATGCATGCTTGTGCTCAGATAGCTTTCTCCCAAGTTTAGGCCAGTTATGGTAACCAAGATAACCCATACAGACATGCTCAAGGTCCAATCTGATGCAGACTGTCCCTTATCAAGTCTCTCCCTAGGTGACCCTAGGTTGTGACAAGTTGACAGTTAAAACTGTCTGTCACACCACTCTTCCCAGGTCCCGGGGGAGCAATAGCTACAACTTTCCATTCTGACTTTGGATCACGTCTTCCTGTGTCCCACTGACAGATGTCATCTGTCCTGTACTTATCGCCAGCCTTACAGTCTTTCCTTAGCTCTTACTCCTGCCTCGTCTCTGTTCTCTAAGCAAAAACACCGCCTTCGCCCAGCCATGCTGCTTCTTACAAGCGAGGCCTGCATGCAGGGACTCACTGCAGCTTCCGTGGTGATGGGCTGGACAGGTCACACACCATTGGCATGGTGTATGCAGAGCCACCTGTCACGGACCAGGGGACCCCTGGTTCTGTCATCTTACAGCTTGTGGGAACTCCCAGCAGAACCCTGCAGCACCAAGTCCTGGTTTGCTTTGTGCTAGGAACAACGTAGTGGCCCAAGTTGACCTTAAGGGGATGACAGTCTGGGTGATGAGGAGTTCCTTGCTAGCCCTCCTTCTGGATGCCTTCTAGAAACCTCCAACCAGCCTACATCGAGGTCATGCCTTGTTGAAAAGGGCAGAAACACTCAATGGGACGCTGAAAGCTTGGACATGTGTGGGAGTGCACGTACTTGGGCTCAACTCTATTGTCCTGCCAAGTAAACATTGACTTGGTGTTTAGGTTCTGTCAATATTTACCTCTCGAACTGATAAAACCTGGTGTTTACTTTTTCTGACTGTGGTCCGCTGACTAGCTTTTCTTCCTATCTACCGTTAGCCACTGTCACTAGAGGATAGGAATTTTTCAGCTCCATTACCACGGTCATACATGCGGTACATTGCTGGCCAAAACATCATTGTATGGCATGTAAATGTGTATGCACATACATATGTATGTGTGTGCACATGTGTTTTATATATATATGTGTGTGTGTGTATACATGTTTATGCACGTAAATGTGAGTGTGGGTGTATGTGCAGGCAAGTGTACATCTGTATGTGTATGCATGTGCACATGTGTATATATGCATGTATGTGAACACATATGTATATGCATATGTGTATATACGTGTGCATAAATGTGTATGTACAAATGTGAGTACACATGTGTGGGTGTATGCTCATATGTACATGTGTACGAATGTGTGCATGCTCATGTGTGCATGTGTTCACACATCTGTGTGCACACATATGAGTTAGTGTGTCCATGTGCATGTGTGTAACTACATACGAGTGTGTGTGCACCCATGTGTCTGAGTGTGAATGTATTTGTTTGAGCATTATGCAACTGAGCCTGTGTGAGTGTGTAAATGTGTGTATACACACATGTGACTATGCATGAATGTGTAATTTACCTCTCCAGATTCTATCAGCTCTGCTTCTTGAAGAGCTCTAAGGTACTGAAAGACATCTTATACTCTACAGCTCAAAGCTTCCACCCACCCTACCCTTGACCCTACTCTGAAGAAGACAGAACTATGGCATCTCTGAATGATCCCGAAGAAAATGATGAGCCTGAGCCTGATATCCTGAATGGGTAAAAAGGTCAGCTGGCCTGGGGCCTGGGACCTGGGGCCTGGGGCCTGGGGCCTGGGACCTGGGGCCTGGGGCCTGGGGCCTGGGGCCTGGGGCCTGGGGCCTGGGGCCTGGGGCCTGGGGCCTGGGGCCTGGGGCCTGGGGCCTGGGGCCTGGGGCCAGCAAGTCTTTAGGGGTCCTCTGCTATTGGCAGCAAAGCACAGAGCACTAGGCACTGGGCTCAGGCATGTTCACAGCCTACAGGAAGACAGCAGCAAGTGAGGGACCTACTGTGTATCCCGTGAGACATGCTGGGAAAGCAAGGAGAGACAATGATGTCTGGTCCGAGGGGCTCCTAGATGGTCGGACAGCAACCAAGGAGGTGATGATGATCTCAACAGGGGCTCAGTGACAGATGAGGGCAGAGAAACTGAGAGGAATGATGAAGGTAATGCAGCGAGGACAGCCCTAACAGAAAGGATGAACCTTACCCAGGCTCAGCCTCCCACAGGATGTAGGGCCTGCAGGGGCTATGCCTTGAGATGCCATGGGTCTCTATGCTCCTTCTTCCCGCTCAGAGCCAAGAGCTCCTGCTGTTGACAGTCTTCTGCTCCTATGTGTCCCTTTTAACCTCCAAAGGATGACTCAAGACTGCGCACCAGATGAGCATGGCAGATTTGGGGAGCAGGTGTATGAGAGACAGTTTGAAAGCCATGTGCCTCTTCTGTCACAGCTGCCAGCCACCCTCACCCATTGTGGCCATGTGCCCTAAGCTACACACTCAGTGCCCCAGAGTCAGGGTGGAGACGGTGTGGGGCGTGGCAGGTGCCTCAGCTGGCTTGTGCACCTGTTTCAGAGTTGCTGTGCCATTCCCAACTGGCACACCTGAGGGCCATCACGCCTTAACTCCCTTGGCCCTGTCGTTCCTGTCTCTGGGCTACCTCCAAAAGCAAGCTCTCCAGACTAGGTCTGCACACACTCACCCTGCCACTCGACGGAGAGCAGACTACCCACAAGTGGAACATCCCAGTGTCTCAACTGCCCGGCTTCATCCTACAGCAGCAAAACCCACCACACTCCACTGCAAAGCCCAACAACGCCCTGTTCTCTACGAAGGCTGGGTGCCTTGCTCCATGCAACCCTTCGAAAGTGACACCCACTCCGCTCAGTGAGAGCCTGGAGCCCTGACACCCCAGAGCCTTCTCAGAGAACTGCCAAGCCCTCACCTCCCAGACCATACAGCCTGGCACAACAAGGCTCTCTTGATGCCCTAAACACAGAGTCCTCTCAGCCAGACAGAAAAATAGACCGCACCTGCCAAACAACACCTCTTTCCTCGGAAAATCTGTGTCAAACTCACACAGCGTAGAGTCACCTGCGAGGAGAGTCTTAACGAGGATTTATCTAGATCAGATTGGCCCGTGGGCATGTCTGTGGGGGATTATCTAGATTGGTGATGGAGGTGAGAAGAGCCAGCCTGAATGTGGGCAGCACCATTTCAAGAGCCAGGCCCTGGTCTGCATCACAGCGGAGCAAGCAGCTCGGCAAGCGACGATGTGGTTGTTCTCTTTGCCCTGGACTGCGCCTGTGAGGCGACTAGCTGCGTGAGTTCCTGCCCTGACTTCCTCGGAAGATGATGAGCTCTAACTTGGGAACTGTGAGCCCACCACTCACTCTCCTAATGCTCTGTTGCTTGCTGACAGGGCGTCTGGCACGGCGTGAGGGAATGCATGGAGTGAAGCTGCGGTGGCTTCACTGTGAATTCCATCAAGAGTTCCAGGTCTTTGCTTTGTTTCTGAAGCGGTGATTCCCAGGGTGGCGTGTAGAGTTAGGCATACCCAGCGCGAAGGTCCCTGGTCACATCCAGAGTGCGACTAGGACCTTACTGCAACAGCAGTCATGACTCTCAACTTCCCAGAAAGCCAGTGCGCTCATGTCTCATGTCCCTGAGAAGTTCAAACACTCTTGCTTTCTCTTTCCCAGCACTGCTTAAGCCCTTCCCAAACATTTGCTTTCCATTGACTTTGTAAGGTTGGTGTCCCAATGACCTGGAAGGACACCGGGAAGCAGCAGAGCCGGGCTGGGGCTCAGGAGTCCAGCCCCTTGCTCAACCAGGTCAGCTCTAAATTGAGTCCCTGCCTACTGTCTTTCCATCCCCAGAGACAACCTGCGTCCCCGCTGTTGCAGACCTGTATCTAAGATGTCAAAACCCTGAGAGCAGAGCCCTCTTCAGCGCTGTCACCCAGCAGTCAGCTTGTCATTTCCTCCTGTCTTCTCCCTCTTCCCTTCTGGGGACAGTCACAAGGGAGAGGGGAGGGCTGCCTGCCCTATGGGCAGAGTCTTCCTCTCACCATCTCTTCCTTCCCCGCTGCCTCACAACCTCACTCTCTAGGAGCTCACAGCAGAGCCAGGGAAGGGTGCAGGCGACAAGGCATGTAGGGACCCAGATGCCCTCTGTCTTCCCAGGGCATATAATCAACCTGACTATCCTCCTGAGTCCCACGGAGAAGGAAGCAGCGTCTCCTCCCAAGATGGTTCCTCCTTCCTCAGTGGACCTGCTCTCAGGGGACGCCTCCTCTGCTGCCAGTCTCTGCACAAACATGGCCCATTTCCTGTCTTGTCCCCATAAATGCTCACCCGGCTGCCTGACCCTAAACAGAGCAGATTATGTTATGGCTCTGAATACAGCCAATCGTGTCTGATCTTGGGGGCTAGGCAGCATCAGGCCTGGTTAGTGCACGGATGGGAGAGTGCTCCCGAGTCTGTGAGTAAATGCCCTTGCACACTCCTGCACCTGACGGGTCTGGCTGCGTGTGCGTGTCTTCTCTTAGCTTCCATGCACTGTCACAGGATGGTTGGTGCACTCAGAGCCATGGGTGAGCACACTTCCTGTCCCCATTTCCCTGTGATGCACAGGGGCCTCTCTGGAAAAGGAGACTCCAGTCCTCACTCCTAAGCTGAGAGGTTGACCTCACAGGGGTAGAAGTCACTCAATAGCCTTTTAGCGCCTGCATTGTTCTCATTGCCATTGCTTCAACCTCATTGACCCCTAGTCTCTGCCTGTCTTTACAAGGTGGCATTGTGTCGTGGTTGAGTTTCCTGGGAAGCTTCAAGTCAGCAACGGATTACATTCCTGTATCCATCTGAAAAGCCAGCAGGTTTCTCCAGGGACTACCGTGGAGGTTAGAGTCCAACTGAACCCGATTAACCCAGAGTGACAGGCGATACCCTATGTATGCTCAGCACAATGAGACATTAAAATAACTTCAGAATGAAAACTCCCTACACTTTGAAATTTTCTAGGAAATCTGTAGCTTCCATTTCTATGACTGGGCCCCCTTCCATGTCCAGCTGCCTCTGCAGCTGCTCCCGATCATGTACTAGGTAGCGGGTGGGGTGCTCCTGGCGTCCTGAGGATGCAGCCTGGGTGCTGCTCAGACTCCCGTGGTACTCAGGGCAGCCTCACTGAATGCAAAAGGGCCACTGCAGGGAAACGAGCAGCATCACTCATGCTAATGCAAAGGGAGTGACCCCGGTGCCCTTTGCAGGCAGGGACTAGGGTGGCTTCTGATGGTGTACTCCACAGCAGGAGGGGAAGGGGGCAGGTAGCAGGGTGGTTTCCAATGGTGTACTCCACAGCAGGAGGGGAAGGGGGCAGGTAGCAGGGTGGCTTCTGATGGTGTACTCCCCAGCAGGGGGGAAGGGGGCAGGGACTAGGGTGGCTTCCGATGGTGTACTCCACAGCAGGAGGGGAAGGAGGCAGGTAGCTGGAAATATGCATCGCTACAGTAAAGTGGTGCAGAGGAAAGCAGAGTACATGACTGAGCCCCACAAGCACCCCAAAAGTCCTGTAGGAAGGAGGCAGCACAGAGAGCACCCCCTGCCCCGGCCCCACCAAGAGCCATTTCCTGCTAAGTCCCCTGGCCGGGTCCCCGGAGTCAGCTATCTGTTTCGTGACCTTGCATTGATGCCTTACACATCTACTTTCTAGCAAATGATTAAACCGTCCCACTTATATTTTCTGCATGTGAGTTACTTAATGATGCAAAATATAGGGGGAAAACCACTGTTCTATTGTTCTCATTCTACCACACACTTGTGAAAAATGTTGGATGGAGAGATACTGCTTTTGAATTCAATACTTTCAAACCCTGGTCTTGGGGAGCCGTGTTGAATTCTAGGCAATGAGTATTTGCTCATCAAACAACACAGACACCAGAAGATCAGCTGAGCTGCCAAAATGGGGCAGGGAAACCAAAACACATCTGGATGGATGCTGGGGTCGGGTATCAGGCCTCATGCCCACACCCAGAACCTAGGCCATGCTCCCAATGTGAAGGTCCTGTTGCTGTAGATCTATGGATCTGTAGATTCGTGGTTCTGTGGATCTGTGGTTCTACAGGTCTGTGGTTCTATGCATCTTTTGTTCTATGGATCTGTGGATCTGTGATTCTGTGGATCCGTGGTTCTGTGGTTCCGTGGTTCTGTGGTTCCGTGGTTCTATATGAATTGCCCTTCTCATTGATGTGATAAAACACCTGACAAAAACAACTTAAGGTCAGAAGGGCTGCTTTTGGCTCACAGTTTGAATGATGCCGTTCATCATGGTAGGGAAGGCAGCTTGAGGCAGCTGGTCACATTTCAGTCATAGTCAACAAGCAGAGAGTAATGACCTCAGCTAACCCAATGAAGAAACATCCTTACACGCATGCCCAGAAGTTAGTCTCCTAGATCCTGTAATTCTAGACCTGACACGTTGGCAGTCATGGGTTCCAGCCTCCATTTCCTATTCCTCCTTGGGGCCATGGCCTCACTTTGGGTATGACTTTTTCAATGTCCAAGACCCTATACATAGTGGCCTCTCTGGCTTTGCCAGGCCTTCCTCACCAGATGGACATTCAGGACCCCAACCTTGACAGCAGATGTTGCTAAAAATCCCACAGAACAGCTTGCTAACCTTCCCACCTACTCCTGCCAAACATGCCCATCCCAAGGGAAGACTTCGCACAAGGTGAGCAGCCTGACTTCCCCAGGAGCAGAGTCACCTCCGCATGATGTGTGGAATGAGGTCCAGGCAACTGAAGCTATTTACTTCCATGTTAAGATTGTCTAGCCATTAGTTTCAGAATAATCCACAGGCTGAGTTATGGGCAGGTCCCCAGGAACAGGACCTGATAGGAAGTGGAAAGGCATATGAATTATTGGGATACTACCTGGGGAAGAAAGAATGTGGAGGGTCTGGCCCAGCCTTGACCCCCTCTGCTAGCCTTTGGCTTTAAGTGGAGTGGGACAAAGGACCCCACCAGGAAAATGACTCTCAGTATGAGATGCTGACAGCAGCCCTTATGCAGTGGGAGCAGAATGTTAGCACAGTGTGAGGGACCCAGCTTCACCCTAGACTGAAGTGACAGCTCTTTCTGTGCACCTGCTGTCTCTGTCCTGAATCAAGAGTGTCTCACCATTTAACTCCACCTTTTGTCATTAGCAAATCCCATGGGGAATCATATTCTCCCTGGGCCAGCCTGGGCTACTGGGCAAGTCTGTGTCTCAAGAAAGACAAAATAAATAAAAAGTTAGAGGGAGTTAGAAACCACATTTTTTATGTTTTATCTCCAAATATAATCCAGGTGAGAAAGGATAAGCCAGGGATGGAAGCAATTCTCAGAAGTGCATCTTGTGAACCGTCCCATGATCTCTATAGTCCCCATTTGTCCCCCCAGCAAGTACCATACATCCAGTGAACCAGGCTCAGTGTTCAGGATGCACGGTCCTTAAACATCTGACAGGTAAGGAAGGAGATCACCTGGGCTTCTATGCCTGGCTCCCTGTGATGCTAGAGGCTTCCTTCTAGGGAGAAAGCGGTATAGCATCCTGGCTCTCTGTCTGGGACCTTCCCCAACCCACAGCCCTCCTCTGCCCAGAACAATCCTCCAGCCCAGAGCTCTCTCCATCTGCTTCTCCTCGGCTCTTGCTCACTGGGCATGCACACTTCGAGGCTTCATTAACCACCTTGAGTTCCAAAAAACCAGATAGGGGAAGGTAAGCATCAGGGCTTGGACCTACAGCTGGGTGTGGGTTGGCTGCTGTCAACAGGGTTTCTGGAGGTTAGGGTCACAGACTCTGAGGCAAGGGAGCTAGGGCCAGCCCCACCCTAGATGCCTGGTCTATCATCATTCCTTCTGTTTGCCTGCTCACACCTGACAGCACACCTTGGTCTTCTCAGCTCTATGAAAAGGGCTGAAATTTCCTCAACCCAAACAAAGGAGGACCTGTGGAAGAAAGTGCGGATGCCTGGATGAAGGTGGGGTAGGGGGAGGCTGCCCTGGATGCCCTTACCTCCCAGGAACTCAGGTTGTCAACTGCAAAAGCAATAAGAAGGAAGTACGAACAAGCAGGGCTTCTACTCCTGCTTGTCTGGGGGCAACCATGGAGCCGCTGCCACAGCTGAAGGGATTGGGATGTCTACTGGCCCCAGATACTATATTAAAATGTCAAACTGAAAGCATATCAATCAATAAGAAATCCAGCTGTGGTATGACAGAAATAAGACAACTACCTGTGATACCATAATGATGAGAGGTAGGTATGTAGAAAAACTCATGACAGACAACACATAATCCCAGACAAAGAGGAACCAAGAAGTGAAGGCACCACTCAGATCCCCCCAAAAGGTTGCACAGTAGTGAGAAGAAGAAAAAAATACCCTGAGAATAAAAGGTGTGTCTTCCCTGAAGGGAAGCCTACAAGTTAACTTTGTGAGGCCCACTGTGGAAACCAGCATATCCTCTGACATGTGCTTCTCAGGTTCCAGACCCTCAGCTCTCTCCATCTCCTGGGGCTCATCAGAAACAGCAGGAGCCCAGGGTGTCCCCTGGAGTACTCAAGTCATATTCTCTCTTGGAGGTATGCTTGGACTTACCACATCTTAGTTTCTTCCTAAGTCACTGAAGTCACCACGGCTCTAGCTCCAAAGAGAATACAGGTTGCTCTGAACCTAGCATGAGAAGCCCTGGCTAGTACACTAGTTATTTTCTCATTGATTTGGTCAGATGCCTGACAAGGAAGGGTTATTTTGGCTCACAGTTGGAAGGGGCAGTCCATTGGGACAGGGAAGTTTTGGCAGCAGGAATGTGAGGCAGATGGTTACACTGCATCCATGATCAGGAAGCAGAGAGCACATAGGAACTAGGGTCAGGCTAGAAAATTCCCAAGGACGGCCTTCATTGACCAGTTCTTCAAGTGATCTACTTCCCCCAGTAAGGCTCCATTAACTAAAGGTTCCACAACCTTCCCCAAAAGTACTACAAGCTGGGGACCAAGTGTCTAAAGACATGAGCCCATGGGAGACATTTCACATTCAAGGCACAAGAGCTTGAGAACATGGATACGGTTACCCTAAATGATATGTCCACTGCGGGAGTCATTACATGAATTTATAGTCACAGAGCAGAAACAGTTATAAACCAATGAATTTACTGTTGGTACGGACATCAGGTAACCAGGCTAGCTATGCAGGGAAATCTCCGCTTTAGACTTTAGGTGCTACCCAGTGATATTCTTAGCTTTTCAGCTGGTGGTAACTAGTGAGTGGTCTGTACAGTTCATACACTATAGAGGTTTTTCCTGATAGCCAGAAGGATGCTAGGTCAGACACTGGAGTGGGTCCAATCCTGGTTGTCAACTTGGCATATGCTAAGAGGGAACCTCAATGAAGAACTGCCCCCATCAGATTGCCCTGAAGGCAGTCTTGGGGCACTATCTTGACTGATGATTGATGTGAGGGGCCCAGCACTCTGTGGTTCTAAGTTTATAAAAAAGCAGGCTGAGTAAGTCATGGATAACAAGTCAGTAAGCAGCATTCCTCCATGGTTCCTGCCTCTGTTTCTGGCTTGAGTTCCTGCTCTGTCCTCCCTCAGTGATGGGATGTGATTGGGACGTATAAGCCAAATAAACCATGTGGCTAATTTAGTGAACCCCAGTTCCCACTGCAGAGCCACAGGCACAAAACTTGTGTTTAAAAACATGAGCTTACCTAGAGGGCGGCTGGAGGACGATTCCACCCAATAGCACTAAAATCAATGACCTGCCTAGGTCACTTGCCGCTTTCCCGTCAGGCCAGTGAGCTTCCTGAAGGGTCTCCTCAGCAGCTGAAACTTGTCATCCCTCTCATGAGGAAGGCTGCCCCTCTTACTCAGGACCCTTTCTGGGTTTCCCCATCCTTCTTTCTGGCACCAAGCCTGAGCCTCCGTTCTACATGAAGTTGGGGGATGA